GCGCGGCCCCGGCAGGGCGCGGGGGGAAGCGCCGGCGGCCGCAGCTGCAAAAGCAGCCTCTAAGTAGTTTAGCACACAACACCCAAGGCAGCCGCCGGCGGGCTGGCGGGACAGCGGGCAGGAAGACAGCAGACGCGCGGTCACTCACCGTCGGCGCAAGGCTTCGCGCCCCACTCCCGCCGGGGGACAGTGAGGGACGCACGGCTGCGGTTCATGGGCGCAGGGACGTTCCTCCTGCGGAGCCGAAGGGCTGCATTGGCTCAAGCAGGAGACGCTTCCTCCTGTTCCTCTCCCCCCGCCGCCACCGCCGCCGCCGTCGCTGCCTCCTGGGAAAAAGGAAAAAAAAAAAAAAAAGAGTCCTGGGCAGCAGTTGCTGGAAAGTCTCTGCTAAGCCACCTCCCAGCGCTGCTGTCCCTCCCAAGTCCTCGCCAAGTCCGGACGAGGCAGGGGCGGCAGCCAGGGCCAGCTGCACAAACTCTCAGCGCATGCTCGGGCCGCTGGCTGCCGGGGTTGGAGCTTAGTGGGTGTTTCTTGCTCCCTCACCCGACGTGAGCCCCTGAAGGGGACTCCTTACCTCTACAAAACAAGGTCCAGAAATAGATAAAGTCTGGGGACTATGGGGAAATGCGAGCCGTAAACCCTTTAAAATGGTGGTGTCGGAGGTAGGGAGTCTGGGTTATAACCACAGGGAAACAGGCTTTTATTATATAAAAATATTTGTGTTTGAGAAGGGGGGCGAAGGAGTGGCCCGATCCAATTCCTGCAATGAGAAACCAGTTTTCACAACCTTTCTGGAACCTCCTCCTGTGATTTGTCACTAACTTGATGCCCTATGAACCTTCTTAATGCTTTGCTGCCCTCCCTGATTAAAAAACAAAACAAAACAAAACAGTTCTTTCCCACTCGCATAGAGCACTAATAGCATTTACCTAAACACCGGAGTAAACGTTCCATGTCCGCTGACATCCAGAATAGGAGGAAAGAATATTTTTAACTTTCACAAGTAATCCAAAGTTTGCAAAATTTTTTCCCAACAGGATTGTTTTAAGTGGGCGATTTATCTTGAATTGTGTACATAGTAATGGGAATTTGATTTTTTTTTTTCAACTAGGAATTCAGGAAGTATTAAAGTAATGAGACTATTCTTCCAAAAATACCTCCCTTTGGGAAATAAGTTTCACACTTAGAAATCGCTCCATCGTATTCTCCATATAAAATGTTTATATAGTATGCACCATAGTGGTCCACATTTCTATGATTATTTTTGTGCATACTGTGTGGCAAATAAATCTTCATGACAAATCTGAATTCCCTGAAATACAAGCAACATCTCTGAGAAAACCTAATAATGGGAGTCCTTTTTAAATTTCTTTTAAGAGAAAAAGAAAATTGGAGTCCCATGTCTGTCATTGCCTGTCTACAGTCAGTTGCTGCATGACCAGAATGACAATGAGATACGCACTCATTTGGGTAGAAGTAAAATCAAGACTAAAAAAGAACCTGAGTGTTTTGGGTTAGAATTAGGATAGTTATTGGTAAGCAAGTCACTAAGCTAAATGTAAGGCAGCAAGCTCAAAAAAGCACAAAGATAGCCATTCACACAAGACCCCAAGAAAAATGTCCAGTCATCCATCAGATAACTCTAACTCTGGCAAGAAAGTATCTTCTAGAATCCTGGAGAAGAGTAAAGAAACCCACTTTTATCCACTATCAGTCTCTGCTCAAGTTAAGGTGTATACCAGTTCTCAGCAGAGAAATGCTGAAACAACCCACCATGTGAATACTGCTGGCAGCACACATTCCTCTGAGAGACAGAAACGCCCCCACATTGAGGGAGCCTATGATAGCCATTAAAACTGACAAAAAAAGATTGCAAATAATTCCTGTATCACTGAACAGAAATCCTCTTCTGTTTATATAAAGCGGTTACGTGTCTATCCACCATTCATAAACTTTTACAGGCCCTACAATAATACTATTTTAGAGGGAGATGCTTTAGAATTATATAGGCTCCCTCGCTCAATATTACATCACTAGTTAAATTCCATTCCAAGCTAAAACCCAGAATCATGCAATCTAACTAATTTCAATGAGTCTTAAAATTGCTGTCTATTAGAATCACTTAGGAAGTTTTGAAAAAATCCTAATGCTTAAGCCATAATCGACACCAATTAAATCAGAATCTCTGCAGCTGTGGCCTAGGCATCCAGATTTTTCAAAGTTCCCAAGTTAATTCTAATCTGCAGCTAAGTTTGAAAACCCCTGCAACTATCGCATTACAGATGCCTGAAAACTAGCAGAGGGGTCTTTTCAGGTTTAGCTGGATCTACTCCCTCACCTGTGAGTTGATAAATTAAATTTAATATCCCCATTTTATAAGTGAAGAAGAAAGCAGAGCTGTAGTTACTGCTTTAATATCCCTGATGAACAGTCATCAGAGTCTGTGACTCAACATTTCAGGAGAGAAGACCTCGCCACATTTGAGACATTGCAAATCGGGGCAATTTTGATTGTTTAAATCTGACTGTACTCTTTAACTTCTACCCCTCAACTGTAGTTCTGCCTTTTGGGGTCCACAGCATGAGCAATCCTCCCATCAACACCCTTTCAATTCCCTCTCCAATCCTTCTCTTCTCCAGGATTACAGAAGCATGGTAAGACTTGACATCACAGCTGTCATTTTGTGGGATCTGTATTTTTCTCTGTGAGAATAACTTTTCTTGTGTGTGCACAAAAGGAAGATAGAAAAACCCCAAAATGGGCAAGACAATTTGAATGTAGAATAACATTAGGAAAATTGTATGGACTATTCATTGCCTACAAGGCAGAAAACCAACTCTATAGCTATTTTTGCATCATTGAGTACTTTCTGAGCATGTGGCACCTATTGAAGATACTAAGATACTAAGTATAAGTATATCGAAGATACTAAGAATAAGATGGGAACCTATCCTCCAAGAAAAGGTAAAACTATTATTTTCAGTTTAGATGATAATAGCTGCTATTCATGAACAACATCATATGTGTCAGTCCCAGAGTCAGGAGTAAAACTCAGCTATGTGGTAAGGAAATATAAATTCCTCATTCCATAGGCAATTCATTCGTCCATATGTGATTCCACTCTTTCTGCTCAAGTTGCAAAAGGAAGAGCAGCATAGGTATTTTGTAGGATGAACGAGTTTCTATTGCTTCTTCGTATAAAGCCCTCTCAGTACACTTAAGACACTTCTTCACAATCAATACTGGAAAGAGACATATGTTTTGAACAAGTAATATGTGCCCAACATACTAGATGCTTCTCCTAATGTATCTTATTAATTCCTCATAACTACACAGTGAGATATTGAGACTCAGTTGATTTCTCCAGGGTCATACTGGTATTAAGCAAAGAAACTGAGATTCTAAGATCTGACTCCACTGTTAACCTGAATTATAATCATATTTCAAATCTGGGTGGGAATTCATTGACAAAACTCGAGAAGAAAAATATTCTAGTCATTTTTATTAGTTCTTAAACATATGAGGCTGAATTTCAGACGTATATACTCAAACTATGACTGGTAAATCTACTTTCACCTCTTATTTCTTAGAGTAGACCAAATTGGACCAGAAAAGAGCCTTTCATCACAGAATTTTGTTTGAATTGTGGGTGTAAAAAGGAATGGATGCTACCATCCTCTCTCCTGCTCACTGCAAAACAATCCAGCTTTCAGCCAACTACTTCTGTAGCACTACTCAGCAAATGCCCTTAGTTACTGAGAGAATCTCTAAAGCAGAAACCTACTGGCAACAGCCAAGGAGACTAAGAAAACTCAGATCACCTCATTTCCATCCTATGCCATGAGCTTACATCCTGAACTACATTTATATTTGTATGCCATACTATTGATTGCCTAAATCAGCATCCTCATAGAAAAACCCTAGAAGAATTTCTTGTTACAGTTTATCCAAACCCAGCTTCTGTACAAAACTCAGAGATTTGGACTCATCTCATCAACTGACATCGATACAAATAATCCAGTCTTATTCAATAAATATTTATTGAACTGTACTATAAACTCAGAACTGTGCTAAGAGATACAAAAAGTTCTAACATAGTTTTGACTCTCAAAGAATTTATAATTTCATTAGCATACTACCTCTCCAGAAAGCAAAACTTACAGACTTTAAGAACTGTTTCTCTTCCTAGGAAGAGAATTTACAGTTCTTTGAAACAAACCGTAAAGAAAAAGAAGGAATACAGGCTTTATTTACAAATAGCTGTCAAACCCTACTTTCTTTAGAAAGATCTCCCGGGAATCATTCCATCATACCACTACATCAACTTCCTGTCATGCCCACAATACAACTAGGAGAAACATAAACAGTTACTGTGAATATTAATCATTTGTCTTCGCTCTTCTTTCAATTCACTTGCTATGTTTTAAAACTTTCAGATTATTCCAACAGCTCATTAATATAATGTTTATTTATTTATACCAGATAAAATGTTTAGTTTTAAATTTTATTTTCAATTGGCTAATCCAAGCTCACAGTTTTCTTCATCCTACCACATATAAACCAACCATTTTATGTAACAAAAACAATTGTGAATTTGTGATTATAATTCAGCCTTTACAAAAGTTCCATCATTGAAGCTTAAACTTTTTTCTATGTTATTATTTGTGTGTATGTGTATTAGCTGTAACAATGTATGGCAAACTAGAGATACAGTTAATTTTCATTTCATATTTCATGGTCTGAATGTATAAATGATTGACAGATGAATAAGAAAAAAAAGCTACTGTTTCTCCTTTCTTTTCATGATGATGCAACCTTTTTTTCATTGCAAAGAACTGACAATTACCATTATGTTTACTATCTTTGTATTGTCAATATTAGAAAGCAGTATTAAATGATTATTGTTCACAGAAATAAAGGAAGAGCTATCATGTCATGGACATCCATGTATAACTTATAGAGTTAGTTTAAAAAAATTAACAAGCAGCTCTGTTATTTGAATACATTTTTTAGCTTTATCAATAATATTACTCAGTGTAAATGACTAGAAAAAAAGATTGGGGATATAATATGTCTGATTTAGAAAACTTATTCATATTTTCCAAAATGTGTTAAATTATGGAATTAAATTATATGTTTTCTGGTGGGTCACACAGAGCAATCTTTCTAAGTCTGCCGATATGGAGATGAGTTAGTTTTCACTTCATAGAAGGTGGCCTAAAATATGGCAGCAGCCAGCATGGGCTGCAAGGCCGACCATATGCACCATATGTTAACTTAATTAACTAGGTCCCAGCAGCCACTTCTTAGATCAGACATAAAAACTGAGAATATAACAACCCAAAATTTATGTTACTTCAGTTTTTTTTTGTTTTGTTTTTTTTTACTATCCCCTACTTGCACTGTACTAAGGATATTATAAATCATTTCCTTTCTTCCCTCCCTTCCACAACCTTCACTCTGT